CCATCGCTCTTAGGTTGGAGGCCATCGCTCTTTTGTTGGAGGCATTGCTCTTTTTGGTTGGAGGCCATCGCTATTTTTTGTTGATCGTCGTCCTGCTTTTTTCTGGCTGCATCGCGAGGATCTTCTTCGGCGTCACTGTCCCCCTCACCTGGACACTAAAGTGTCTTGATTGCAGTAAGGCGAGTGCCAAGCAAACGCCAAGACGTTGAAGTTGTGCTCTTGCAAAAGTTCCACTAATTTCTTTGTTGTTACGCTTCCTTTGGTGTTTGTTCCTTGGACCTTTAGATGTTTTTCGTGCTTACATGTTCTTTTCTTCCAACTAATGGTTCATCCTGGCCTCCCTCGGGCGCATCTGTACCGTCGCCGATCAAGGCTAACATCTCGGGGTCATCATCGTCCTGAACACAGAATGGCAACCAAATCAAACCTTGCCATGTTAAGTGTTTCTAATAATCGTCCTTAGGTTGGAGGCCATCTCTAGTAGTTTCCTCAAAACCTAATAAAAAAAATATTAGTCTGAGCGCTTCTTCAAGGAAGCTCCCCGCCCGCCGCCTTTGGGGCGGCAAGGGGAGCTTTCTTGAAGAAGCGTGAGGTATCCTGCGTCCAGTAGGCAGTAGCTTAAGTAGCTAGCAGCTTACTCAGCTTACTCCCTTACTTAATTAAGTAGGCACCTACTTAGTTAAGTAAGGAACAGAAAACAAGCGGTGTTTGCGTCATGTGCGAAAACAAGGTCTAAAGGTTCTTCGCCTCGTCCTCCTCCTTCTGTTCTTTCACACCGGCGGCCTTGGCCCTCTCCATAAAGTACACCTCTCCGTGTGGTCGACAAGTGGAGTAACAAGGACGCTACTAGGTGGAGGCCATCGCTACTCGTAACAAGAAGCTACTAGGAACAAAGGGCATCGCTACTAGGAGCAAGGACGCTACTAGGGGCTCCTGGCCTTACTACTAGGAACAAGGAAGCTACTAGGAGCACAGGGCATCGGATGTCTTGGAGTCTGGCTAAAGCGAAATCCAAAGACAACTCCACAAGCGGAGCACGCAGGATGCGTAAGCAGGTTGCGCGCTGCGTTTTGAGCACATAAGTCATGAGACATGACCAATGCTAAACAGACCCGGCCGAAAAGCCTCTGACCTTACTAACCCAGAGTTTCTGCTCTTTTAGTTTTGGCAACACGCTAAGATCTTTAACAACGCCAAAATACACTACTCACAGATTTGGCAGTGTGGTAGATACTCACAGGGACAAGTGTTACTCTTGGCTCCGAATATCAAAAAGAACAAATCCGACCGTAGATCCAAACAACTGCAGCGCATCTCTTACAAAAAACGAAACATTGAAGCGAACAAATGGCCATGGTGCTCTTTAGATGCAAGTGGCCAAATACCTTGGTATGGACCATTGCGCGCTGCATATCCTAATGATGGATCAACAAGCTTACCAAGCATTCTCGCCTTCTGTTGGATTCTCCATTTTCTACATATTTAGCTTTGTGGCAGAGATGTTCTCCATTTTGTTGGGTTCTCCAGTTTACTTTAATGGTTTTTTCAGAAAAGTCACAGGTGGGATGTTCTTCCAGATGACTTGGTGTCCAAGGCTGTGGTCGGTCACGAGGCTCACATAGGGGACCGAATCCACTTGATCTGTTTTCACAGGTCTGGGGTCATGAAGAAAGCTGCAGGGGGTTACGGGGGATGGTGCGGCACCTGCTGGCAGAAGCACAGAACAAGTCATGACATGGATGGCTACATGGTTCGTTGGTTGGCTTGCTGGCGTGTTATTTTATCTCATTCACGTTTGAAAAAGGTTGGGGGGTGAAGGGCAGGCAGCCCCTCCCCGCAAAAGCAGGCCAAGAACTTGTCCAGTAAGTCATTCTGCCTTCCTTGCTTGATTCGTTCCTTCCTCCTAGCTTTTAAGCACGGGGGGTGGTTGGAGAAGAAGCAACAAGCGGTCAATGCTTGGTTCGAGAATCACAATCGAATCAAGATGGTCACACTGTTAGCGAAAGGAAAACGAGAACAAGCAGATGAGCCTTATCCTCTATCTACGCCAAAAATGAAGGCTTTTCAGTGTGCTCCCATGAAATGGATATAAATTTGACTGCAGGAGGCAGCAAGTGGCACAGGACAAAGAAATAAACGGGCAAGAGTTGGACCAAGCACCCCGGTTGAAGAACCTACTAGCAATGGCCGCGATGGCCTTCAACCAACTGGCGGCTTCCAATTGGGAGCAGAGAGACACATGCAGAATGCAACAACGAGGTGGAGGGAAAGAGCAAACATAGTCTCCCTCCCAAGGGCTGCCTCGTCGCAAGAAAGAATCTAAGGCAGCCGAGAGTAGCCCGTTTCCGAAAGGAGATAAAACATTGTCGTTGTAAGCACGAACGAACACAAGTGGAAAGAGTTTGTCAAACTGGTCTGACATAATCAGTTTGCACAGCGCTCATTTCTGCCGCCTGGAGATTCCGATGCGTCTGCCGCTCTTCAGCGGGCATTGCAGCCTGCAGGACTCTTTGAAGAAAACATACTGACAAAGTGCCTTACTAGTAGTAACAAGTGCCGTACTAGTAGTAACAAGTGCCTTACTAGTAGTAACAAGTGCCTTACTAGTAGTAACAAGTGCACAGATTAGCAAAGGTTTACCAAGAAGCATTCTTGCTGACCTAGGGGCTAGGGGGCTTGCAGGTGCGGTCACAACTGTTGGTTCAGTTTTGACCGTTGTGCCGGCAAACCCCAGAAGTGTTTCTTGTTGAATTTCTGCCTCTTTCACCTATTTCTCTCGCCTCCATGGATGCCCACTCTGTCCTTGAAGCAAAGCAGTGCGCTCTGTGAGAGACGAGAAAGGTTGCGAACTGAAGATCCAAAAAATTGAAGCTTATTTGTTCAAAACGTAGAAGCTTGGCTGCGAGCTGTGACAAGGAGTTGGTCGCACTCGTCTTGTTCCTCAGTGAAGCAGGAAGACCTGACTAACCGAGACCATGAACTCCACGCTACTCGTAACAAAGGGCATCGCTACTGGGGGCTCCTGGCCTTACTACTAGAAACAAAGGACACTACGTGTCTTTTGTTCTCTTGAGCAATTGCCTTCTATTTTTAGCCCGTGGCCCCGCCCTCCTACTTAAGTAAGGGAGAAGCTAGGCTAAGTTCACTCCTAGCTAGCACGCAGGATAGCTGACGCACTCATGATTTCGTCCTAGATTCTTAGGGAAACTTAACTAGCGAAACTAAACGCTTCTTCATCACATGTCTTTTCTCAACTTCTTTGTCTCCCTTTCTATCCTTTCTTCTTCAATATTTCTTCTTGTTCTATTGTGTGTTCCATCTTTCCCGCCCCAAAAAATGCCGATGAAATTGAGATTCTTCAGGACGACGGCGTCCATCTCTGGCAGCGGCTTGCCATCCTCGCCACAAACATTATCCACCTGGCAAGCTTGAGCACACAGTCATGAAGATATGATCCACGCGCATTGCTGCAGGAGGTGCGTTGAACATTAATTAAATACTTAGCATCTGAAAATCCTGTGCAGTAGACTAGGAGCAAGGACGCTACTAGGGGCTCCTGGCATCGCTACGAACGGAGCGATCGGACGCTAATAGTATGTTGGAGGCCATCTTTCCCAGGGCGCACTACATCCACGCGGCGTTCCTCGTACTCCTTCGGGCACTGCAGGCTGCATTGTAAACAGTAACAAGAAGCTACTAGAAACAAGTGCATCGCTTCTAGTAACAAGTGCCTTACTGGTAGTAACAAGAAACTACTACTATTGATTTAATTAGAATCAAATGCGGGCATTGCATTGTAAACATAACGATGAGAGACGGGCCGCGTGAAACACACGAACTCTGTCCTTACCCAGGCGTCGCAGGTCTTTCTTTTCCTCCAAGGCTAGTGCCTTCATGACATTCCTTGGAGCTCAATGTGTCTTTCACATTCAACCAATAATCTGCTTCTGCAACTCAAGCATTTCTGCCAAGAGGCTCATGGACCTGCAAATGGCATAAAAGCTGCTCTTGTTTGACATAATTGCAAGCCTAGCTTGTCACAAACTCACCATGCCTCCTCATCAGTCAGGATGCGCCCTCCACATTTCTGGGCCATCCGCACAAGTCTTGGCCTGGGCGGAAAATCTGTCGACAACCCTCGAAACGACGGTTCCAAATCTCCGGTTCTGCAGCAAAGTCACTGTTACACCCGGTTCTTGGAGCCCAAAAAATAAAAACTTGAGCCCAGTGCAATCTGAGCAAAGCAATGGTCATGCTCGCAGAGCATTGAGTTGGTCAGGCCGCCTTGACCAAGCTGTGTGCAGCTGCCTTTTTAGCAGGGTGAATAAGCAAGCTGGGTATGGAAAACATGATGAGATTTGGCGCATCCAATTGGTGTGCCAGACATCAAACTTCCACACCCAAGGAAAAGAACACTGGGATCTGTTCAGCAGAGTTCACGAAAAGTTGCCTTTCTGATCCCAGTGTTGTGCAAATGGATTTCCAGACTGGAGGCTCACCCGCAAGCCATGCTGTCGTTGCGTTTGAATGACCCATTTAGGCCGATGTCGAATTCCGTCGTCGAGAGGGATATATATATATATATGTCTTTTGAGCTCTTTTTCAATTTGCCGGGTCTGCATTTCAAGCGCCACGCCAGCTCTTTGCGACGAAAATGCGACTCGAACACTTCTCGAAAGTGGGACAAAAAAGGAAGTCCCTTGCCAGAAAGTGACCATCTTCCCAAATGTACTGACATGTCTATAGCGCAGGGTTTTAGTGGTGTGTGACCTATTTGATTGTCAAGATGTTAAGCCTCAGCACTTCAATGCCCTTCATCTCATTGCAAAGCTCCATCAAAACAATTCGAGCTCTACCTGACTCTCTGCGTATCTCTCCTCTTAAACAGTCGCGAACATTCTCCGCTCTCAGACTCCTTCCAGTCGCTCCAAGCTGAGAGAGGCTTGAACAATCGTCACCTTCCGCCTGTGCAATCTCTTCTTTCAGGCCATTAGAGTTCTCTGTGCCTTACTAGTAGTAACAAGTGCCACGCTACTAGTAACAAGTGCCACGCTACTAGTAACAAGTGCCTTACTAGTAGTATCTCTGTGTTTTTTCCACATGTTCTTTAGGCCATTAGAGTTCTCTGTGCCATGCTCTCTTTTTCGCCTTGTATTTTTGATGAAAACCACTAGCATTTGAATACAAAAAATAAAGCATCTGTCATGGTGATTGTGAAAAATGCACACCTCAAGTGTGCTGAGAGCGAGAGCCAACCGCCCACAGAGGCGCATTATGGCTTGATGAGCTTGACATTGCTAGCTCTTTTCTCAAAAAGAACGTGAAATTGTTTTGGAACATGGTAGCCCACTTGTGCTTGCATATCGGATGAAACTTTCACATGGCTGTGATATTCACAAAGCAAAGTAGTGCTTTGTGCTGCCTTTCGGTCTTTGCAGAAAGAGTATTCATTGAATTTCTTTTTGACGTTTGATGTCGAAAGTGCCTGACATGTCTCTCTTTGGGATCCCATGTTCCATGCCGGGCAATGCCTGGCAATCTCCCCAAGGCAACTCTGGTCAAGCCGCCGAAAGGACAAAGCTTTCGTCAGAAAAGGAACAGTGAAGAAAGATTTACGGAGTGAAGATTTGTGATTCTATTGTTTAAATCAAGAAGTCGACTTAAGATTTCTGCGTCCAGAATTGGAAGAAAGAAAAAATGGTCAGAAAGGTACAAAGGCTTCAAGAAACAGCGGAAACTATTAAGTTGGAGGCCATCGCTCTTGGGTTGGAGGCTATCACTCTTAGTTGGAGGCCATCGCTAGTAGGTTGGAGGCCATCGCTCTCAGGTTGGAGGGAATCGCTCTCAGGTTGGAGGCCATCGCTCTTAGGATGGAAACCATCGCTCTTAGGTTGGAGGCCATCGCTCAAAATACCTCCCAAAGGCGAAGAAGAAAAGATATGTCTTAAATAAGAAACAAAAATGGTCTTTAAGCACAAATGTCTTCTGTAAAACAGAACCCTTCCACATTTTGATAAATTTCGAGGTCGGTAGGCTGGTCCGGAAAGATCCCTTACACAAGAACAAGAACATGGTGAAGTTGCGCTTGATGGTGCGTACAGCGCGCATTGCACCGAATGTGACTGTCATGAAGGCTACCCAATGACCCCTTTGCCTGCAGGCTTACAAGAAAGTCCATCGAAAGTAGTCCCAATTCTAAGTATTGTCGCATGTCCCTTCAGCCTGTGAGATCACGCGGCGTCAACTATTGCTAGGCTCAGTCGCCTTCATTCCTGTGTGCCTGGCACTTTTGCAAAGCTTGAAAAGACCAAAGACGCAGATGTTTACTAGTAGTAACAAGTGCCTCGCTAGTAGTAACAGGTGCCTCGCTAGTAGTAACAGGTGCCTTACTAGTAGTAACAGGTGCC